GGACTGAACCAAGCTATTGCTTCGTGGTCCGAGCTCCACCGTGGGGCATGACACATTTACGCTGTGTGGAAATTACTGTGTCGCCTTGAGGAACATTCGCGGCAAGGGGGGCAAGAGCAATGTCCTTGAATAAGAGTGAGTGAGTGAGTGTGATTTTACGCCGCTTTTAGCAATATTCCAGCAGTATCAAGGCGGGGGACACCAGAAATGAGCTTCACACATTGTACCCATGTCGGGAATCGAACCCGGGTCTTCGGCGTGACGAGCGAACGCTTTAACCATTAGGCTACTCGGCCGCCCCTCTTGAATCAGAGGTTCAAATAAACTAGAATTAGTGGCCCTCTTTTTACCTTCGACCCACACTGGCGACTTGACAAACAAGAAAAGAAGATATTAAAACTATAATGTTTGCAGTCATGAAATAGAGTCGTTATGTACTGACAGCGAAAATGAAGGACCCACGAGAACAACAAGGACAGGGGAGTATTGCAGTTTGCAGTCACTGTAGGTACAATATGGTTATTGAGTATTTGGTGTCATTCTTCCCAGGGACGGTTGAGTAACCTAGTGGTTAAAGCGTTCGCTCGTCACGCCGAAGATCCAGGTTCGATTGCCAACATGGCTACAATGTGTGAAGCCCATTCGTGGTGTCCCCCGCCGTGATATTGCTGGAATATTGCTAAAAGCGGCGTAAAACACTACTCACTCACTCACTCATTCTTTCCAGAGTGCCTTTATTTGGGACCAACTCCACTAAATTAACCATTGGTCGGTGCCTCAGGTCCCCTTTCTTTGTGGAACGGCAAGGTCGTGTTCTAATCTGACGATCAAGGTAGTCTCAAGACTATCTCTTCAATTGGCGACATGAGTTCGGTGTGACGTGTCAACGAGATCCCCCGGAAAGGCATAAAGGCCCGAATACCATGGTGAAACTGTTGCCTGGATTCAGTGAAGCGACTGACATCAGGTCCTAGTGTAGCTGATGCTGATGTTGTCACAGTCAAGAAGCGGTTCCTAAAAAAAACCCGAAAACGATCATCCAATGGCGTGGTGACACGCCAAGCCTGTTCTGGGACTGTCCACTGGCGTGATCATTTGTCGTAACCATTACTTGGTGATTGTTGCAACAAAGTGTCAGGCAACGGTATCATGTCTGGCTTCCAACTGCAGCATACCAATGGCCCCTTTTGTTTTGTCGATAATTCTGTTAAATGTTACTGTTTCTGGACTCCTTATGCATGACGCATCCCGTGGTCATGCAGCACGTGTATTTCCAATTTCTTCACAAGACATTTTGTGAACTTAGCAAGATTTTCAGTTGCACCCGTGTCTGTTGCATTTCTATGATTGATCGAATGACATGTATATAATTTTCATCATTTCCTTGTCGTTTACGCCCTATGGAATCTATATAGGCAAATTTTTGAGAGTGATTCTTGTCTTGCCCTGACATTTTCAATTTACATGACTTGAAAAGATTGTTTCGTTTTCGAATTCAAATTCTTGGTATAGTTTAATTTCCTCATCGGCGTACATACCAAGGCAATGGCATGTGGGTTTGCCATCTTTGAAGAGCTAGGGCCCTGTTCAGCTCTAAGGTGATCGTAACTCCCATACTTTGACATTCTCTTATGACAATTGTAGTGCTTCGATCGCTTTGTGGAACCGAGCCCAGGAACTGATCTGAAGATCTGAACTGATTCTATTGAGATTAAACTTTTGCCGCAAACCCCGAAACCTTCAAAACACCGGAACAAATATTTAACAATCATAAGAATTAAATATCGCCGAAGATAACATAAATTGGAGAAGTGCGTGTCCAAAGCTATGAGGATGTTTTCACAATTTAGTTGTAACGGTGGAAAGGCTCAGAGAAGAAACTTAGCCCCTTTGTTTGTCTTCCTAGCACACAATTTTGTTATGAATCAAGATTTAACAGACATGCGAAAAATTATTAAACTGACTTTGAAAACAAGATTTGCTAGGCAAAGACAAATCTTTGTGGACTTTCGTACTGAATGTTTGTGCAATGCAAATAGTGGATACGATGTCGGTATTGAGCACCGACGGCTTTTGGGACAACGATGTAATCGGTGTATTCATCCAACGTCTAGCCGAAGGATAATTGACAAATGTTATACAAATACTCAAGAAATCCCCGTAGCTGTATGTGCGTGTGGTGGCTCCGCGAGACAGTAGCAGTGAAGATTACCCAGACCCATTAACATAAATATGATTATGATCACCATACTATTATTTCTACCCCCTAGGGATTCCGAGAATGTGTCCCCTAGCCTATAATAAGACAAGACATAATAGATCGGATGGTCAGGCTCTGTGACTTCGTTATGTGGAGTCATCGGACCCCGACAGTGTGGATCATTTGCTAATACGACTAATCACTGGATTATCTGGTCCAGACTCGATTAATTACAGGCCGACGTAATGTAACTGGATAATAGCTGAGCGCGTCTTTTAACACAAAACAAGAACAACAAAAACAAATCATGCTTACCAGTTTCAGTAATGTTTGGTTCAATAGTATCACCATCATACTTATGAGTACTCACTGTAACATATTGATAATAGCAATCACTGTAAATATTTCTAACACAGTATTAACTGAAGCATCAACTGCAGCCGCAGTAGGATTAGTTTATGCATCAGAAATAATAGAAGTGTTTCAGTAGACGCTACCAGTAGTGGTATAGAAAGATTGATGACTTCATCTTTCCAATGTTCAAGTTTCTTTTTATAGTCGAGCAGCAACATTCCAGCGGCCACTGGCTTTGGTTTCTACGTATTTCATAACGTTTTGGGTACAATCGAGCATGCCTTTTTCACGGAGATTTCCAAGAGCATCATACGATTCTTGCCCAACAGTTGTTTGATCATGGTTACAACACTTAAAGTCTTAGTAAAGATTTCAAGAGTCTTATGGTACTAGACATGTGGAGGACATTTCCAATTTGACGCATGTCTTACAAACATAATGTCCTATGCAATCCCTTATGTAGACTTCTACAATAATTATGTTCAAGAGTTTTGAGGTAAACAATTGACTTGCCTTTGCATGTGTTTGTGACAGGTGCCACCTACAGGCCAGGTTATCCTCTACTTTTCTCAAACACCTAGTATCATCACTATCTGATAGTAATTCATGAACACGTGCTTATGCTAATGCACAAATAATTTGTATAGTATTATTGAAATGGTTTTGTCGCTTTTATTTACATGTCTTAAATGTTACCAATGATATTCAAATAGCATTTCAGCAACATCACATAGTCCATTTGTTTACTTAGAATACATTTACTGAGTCTCAAAAGTTTGAATTCATTGGCAACAGGCGATTCGCTATGCATATTTACATTGACGTCCGGTAAACACTTGATCATTTACATACAATATATATATGTGCGTCTTTTGATTGTAGATACATGTAGATTTCAATACCCCGTTCACATTCGCTTATATACATATGTGTGTATATGTCCATACGTGTGTAGAAATACATACGTGAGTATACTTGTCATGTGAACCCGTTTACTCATGTGTGTATATTTACCCCTTGAGCAATTTTGCATCATGTCTGTAGCAGGTGCAAATGTAAATGTAAATTTGCAGTGTGTATGTGTTGCAATGTGAACGTTTATGTCAACGTAAGAGGATGTTCTTATCAATATCTGTTCTTTTGCCAACACCAAACAAATTGTCAACAGTTGCCAACCTTTATGCGTATATACAGAGTTGAGAGGACGGTGTTTTCTTTTAGTATCAAGGAATCAAAACTTTGTGTACAAATTAAATCAAACACATGTTGCTTCACGCGAAACTTTTCGGTGAGGTTACTCTCTTCTCATTCAACTTTGATTGTCAAACAAGTTGTTTTGTGTTGAAAGTCGTGAACAGACTGAGGAATATGTGTGCCTTACACAATTTACATACTTTATTTACACACCTAAGATGCTTTTCATGTGAACGCATAGTAAATTTACATACACGCACATATGTATAGTTACACATGTGTAAAATTACTTACATTAGTAAATGTTGTGCATGTGAACGGGGTATAAAGTCTAGTATCTGACATCAAGCAGGATCAATACAACTGGTGACTACTGCGAAGTTCAATAATACCTCCAAGTAACAGTATAGCTCTGTATAGCTCGATATCTCTTAAATATCTGGATATATGTAAAATATATAAATACCTGTATAACTATCAATACCTTGATTATCTCCTAAATATCTGGATATTTTTGGTCCATAAAGTTCACCTGTATAGTAAAAATAAAACACTATTTCGTCCATGAACTACGCCTTGTAGTCATAGATATCGATTATGGTTTTATTATTAATTTCTCCTTTACGATTCAAAAGTAAACAATAACCCTGCTCTGTTATTTTCACTCAGTGTCACGTTCTATATTTAGTGATAAATTGATAACATGGAAAAACTCTAGACAAGGAGTTTTAACAACAGGACATCCTTGCGTTTTCGAGTTACATGTATAAGTACGTTAACAATACTAGGTTATCAAGGTACTTCAAAGCTTAAACAACTCTTATGTTCCCGTGTGTTTTCAGGTGAACAATTGACTTGCTTTTGCATGTGTTTGTGACAGGGTCCGCGGGTGGGGCAGGATACGCCCACCTTTTCGCGAACAGTGATAGTGATTCATAAACACATGCTCATGATACAATCGGAATCGTACAATCGCCTCCACTTTTGGCAGATATTTTGTTTATGAATATGGAAATGGTGTTGTGGCTTTTAATTAAAACAAACTGTATAAGAACCAGGTATCACTCGTCAAACGAGTACATGTCAAATTTCTTGATCAACAATATTCGACACAAAAAACGTAAACGTGTACATATAAAAAATACGCCATCCAATATCAACACAACTATTGTGTCGTTATGAATATCAAACCTGCAAACTATAATACAAGAGAAACTTCAATAGTATATCAAAACACATGCATATGTCTTACCTATTTGGATAAGTGTGTCTAGGTAATGCCCCTGTTAGCGTAGGGATGCACAGATTTGGTAAAACGACTTGTACACTTGCATCAAGTATCCACTGAATCAATCAGATTTGTCAGAACAGGACATTATCACGCCCAGGCCATGTTCCACGACTTCTCGAAGCCACGCGATCTGCACAAATCCGCCCTATTGCTACTACAAGCCTATTCGGCTTTAGCCTCGCTCGATAATTTGTTGTTAGAGATAGAAACTCTCGCATGTGTTGTGACAAGCAGACGAGATGTTCAACTTTTAAGATACGGAGCTGCCCCCTCTTCAGCCTTGCAGGGCGCTGAGGCACTGTACCGGCAGCAAAGTGTTAACACTAATGATATTCCATGAATTACGCCGACTGTCAAAGACTGACCCGGAACACGAGAAGACAGGGAGGAGAAAAAATGCATGTGCAACAATGTAGTAGTCAGTTTTTGTTCAGCCTTGTGCAGTGTGGAAGAAATTGTTAGACGCAGGTGAAAATCTTTCCTATTTTTCGCCAGCATCATAAATGAAGAACATATTTGAAGGTTTCTAAGTTTCAGAGAAACTAATTACTGTAATTATAGTATCCTCCCAAAGCAATTGGAACTGTTTACTTGGGTTGTGACACGTCTAACACACGTTTAACACACATCTCTTATCGCATTGCAAACGGAGTTCGCTGATAATAAGAATACAACAGCTGCAATTATCATTTTACTGATGATCTGACAATTGAGCTTGTCGTGTTATTAAGATTGTTCCCGCAACTTCACTCTCAATGACGAATATACCGGTTTTGGTACATTTGAAACTCTTATCTCAACACTTTACATACTTGGTGTATTTGTGTAGTCAGAGGGAATACACAAATCACATAAAATACCCTGGGAAGGAAAGGTCTTCCTTAGGATCACTGAGCAGAAAGACAAAGTTGACTGTCTGCAGCATGCTATTACACCCACACCTACCCATCTCTGAAATAGCACTCCATGTAACGTGGTCCTTCAAACAGACCTCAAATAACCGTGGATCGTGAGTGATAAACCTGGTCGGGCATCTGAAGTCGCCACGAGTCTACTTCAGCTGCAGTCAGCGAGACAATCCCAGTGTGTGGTATTATTCGAGGCAGATCTGATGGTTAGCTTTAGTTACAGGCCAGAGATGCTGTCAGTCAGCCAAAGACAACATATGTTAATCGTCACGCATACCTTCTGAAACAATACCTACGTTCTAGTGATTTATTATATCTTCATCAATTCCAATAGTATGTAATCAAATGTTACCACATGGGCTTATAGTGAGTGAGGATGGTTTTACGCCGCTTTTAGCAACATTCCAGCAAGGTCACGGCGGGGGAAACCAGAAATGGGCTTTACACGTTGTACCCATGTCGGGAATCGAACCCGGGTCTTCGGCGTAAGGAGAGAACGCTTTAACCACTAGGCCACCCCAACGCCCTGACATCATTTGCTTATAGCTTGGCTATTTCCTTGTTGATATGAATGCATGTACATGACCCACCAAATAAAACCCGCAAAAACATAGCATTGACTTTGGCAACCAATACTTACTTTACACTGTACATTTTGTGAGTGGCGTGTGCTAGCGTTAGGGCGGGACAATAATGCCCACTCTTTCTTCGAACACCTGGTGTCATCACTGATTGCCCATGATCCATTCATATAATTTTCAACACTATTTTGTCTTTTAGGCCATCTGTTTCTGAGACGTTGGTTTCTATGACGTTGAAGTTTTATATGTATGTAAACAATTGTAATTACGGCCTTACAAAGATTCATATTCGCACATTTGTCACAACGAAAAATACAAGACTGAAACTAAAGTGACAGATTGAAAGATCCTTTCCCACTTCCGATCGCTAACGGCTTATATGTAAAGGGGTGAATTTAATAAAGTACACCTACATTTAATATACATTGTTATAAAACACTAATTCCTAAAGGACATTATTGCCATCTCATTCGTATTGAAATCACTTCAAGAATTAATGCCACAAATCCAAAGCCTAGTACCCTCCCGAATCACAGAGGTCATCATTCAGAAAACTCGTGAACACACTCAACGACTATATGAAGGAAAAGGTTGGGCGACTTAATCCAACTGCATGGACTCATGAGGTGGGACTAGCTGCCGTCCTGTTTACTTAAGCCTACTTTGCAGGAACTACTTTGCCCCACGAGTAAACATATCCCATAGGGGTGCGAAATTTGCCCCACCTATCGAATTGGGTTGTAACCCCCCGTGGTAAATTTTAAAAACAGGTTTACATGACGAAATTTACCCGTCAGGGTACGTTTTACCCCTGGGGTAAATATGTGCATGTAAACCTGGCTTTAGTGCACTTACTCAGTACTGTTAAACCTATGGACAGTTTATTGAGTTAGTGGTGGTGTGGTAATGGAATTATTTCCAGAGACCACTATTCCTGAATATATTAGCCAACGTCTTAAGTGAATTCGCCGCTTAATCCTGAACATGACAGGCTTGGCGTGAGCAGTTTACTAAAGGCTATCCATCAATACGATTAAGTCAAAACAATGACACATTGACAGTAAAAGAGATGGTTGCAGTCAGGTTTTTGTAATCGATCGATATTATGTGAGACATACTAGCGATATGTACGGACGCCTCCGTATATGAGGTGGTGAGGTGAAATGGAGTTTAACGTCAAAGTTGCAATTATATAGCGACGTCCATGTGTGTGTGCGTGCGTGCGTGTGTTTGTGTGCTGACCAGTCCTTGTTTATCCATCCCCTTAATACCGAACGCCAGCCAGGGTAACAAACAAATACCATCATTTAACCCTTACCATGACGCTTCCAGGAATCGAACCACCGACATCAAGCTCTCCTTATAGACGCACTATCCACAAGACCACGGAGGCAGTTCTCCGTATACGATAATTACCACAATGCAATATCATAAACACAATGAAGTTGAGAAATAATACTCAACTCAAACACAAGTTTCAAATCACAACCACCTCCGCATCACTGCAAGTGCTATGGGGTGGGATGCTTTTGTTTTATTCCAACCATATTATGTCTTATTTCGTGTGACAAAGACGAATGTCGATCACTTAGACATTTGACATTTTGATTTAATCAGATGGCGGATAATGCAATATAATGTTCATTCCAAGCTTTGTCTGGACTTTGACGTAGGGGTGTATCAGATAACAGTAAAGATAGGAGTTTGTACACCTAAGCCCTTTTTTCATAAGTGTCTGTGTCATATTGATTCTTACAAAACGATGTCAGCATTGTATTCTGTAAATCTACGAGTTATCAGTCAATAAAACCATGCATTAGCCGATGTGCTTATAACGGCGTGTCAGCTTCACGTGGAAGGGGAGCCGACAACAAAACGCCAGATCAATTCCAACTCAAGTACTTTCTCTGTAAATCAACTGAGATTGCGTAACACCGAAAATAGAAAGCAAGATCAACTAACTAATCTGCAAATGAACTGAGATTGTGTGTCACCGTTATTATGAAGTCATGTCAACGCCTAGATCAACTTCATCTTCTGTAAATTAAATGAGATTGTGTGACGCCAACAATAGGAAGCCAGATCAACTAATTATCATGTAGATCAACTGAGATTGTGTGACGCCGACAATAGGAAGCCATATCAACTAATTATTATGTAGATCAACTGAGATTGTGTGACGCCAACAATAGGAAGCCAGATCAACTAATTATTATGTAGATCAACTGAGAATGTGTGACGCCAACAATAGGAAGACAGATCAACTAATTATTATGTAGATCAACTGAGATTGTGTGACGCCAACAAGAGGAAGCCAGATCAACTAAATATTATGTAGATCAACTGAGAATGTGTGACGCCGACAATAGGAAGCCGGATCAACTAATTATCATGTAGATCAACTGAGATTGTGTGACGCCGACAATAGGAAGCCAGATCAACTAATTATTATGTAGATCAACTGAGAATGTGTGACGCCGACAATAGGAAGCCGGATCAACTAATTATCATGTAGATCAACTGAGATTGTGTGACGCCAACAATAGGAAGCCAGATCAACTAAATATTATGTAGATCAACTGAGAATGTGTGACGCCGACAATAGGAAGCCGGATCAACTAATTATCATGTAGATCAACTGAGATTGTGTGACGCCGACAATAGGAAGCCAGATCAACTAATTATTATGTAGATCAACTGAGAATGTGTGACGCCGACAATAGGAAGCCGGATCAACTAATTATCATGTAGATCAACTGAGATTGTGTGACGCCGACAATAGGAAGCCAGATCAACTAATTATTATGTAGATCAACTGAGATTATGTGACGCCGGCAATAGTAAGCCAGATCAAATAATTATTACGTAGATCAACTGGGATTGTGTGACGCCGACAATAGGAAGCCAGATCAACTAATTATTAATGTGTAGATCAACTGAGATTGCGTAACACCGACAATAGGAAGCCGGATGAACTAATTATTATGTACATCAACTAGGATTGTGTGACGCCGACAATAGGAAGCCAGATCAAATAATTATTCGGTAAATCAATCAGATTGTGTGACACCGACATTCGAAATCCAGAACAACGCCTAAATCAACTACTTCTTCTGTAACTCAAATGAGATTGATTGACGCCGACAATAGAACGCCAGATCAACTGATTATCATGTAGATCAACTGCGATTGCGTAACACCGACAATAGGAAGCCAGATAAACTAATTATTATGTAGATCAACTAAGATTGTGTGACGCCGACATTAGGAAGCCAGGTCAACTAATTTTTTTTGTAAATCAACTAAGATTATAGCCTTTTGGGAAAATGCCTAAGTCTGCGCACACCTAGAATTCCAATATAATCACAGCGATCTTGAATGTCACAGGTTTTCGGTTTAGGTTTATTCCTTTCATATTATCATGCTTTTATGGCACCGGATTGGATCTTTTATGGCTGTTTATCAAATCTGTTGAACATATTTAACATCAAAGCCAGTTTTGACGGAGTTGACAGACTTTGTTATGTTTCATTTAATGTGCAAGAGTTGTTTCTGAGATGACTTGATACAAAATAATTTCTCGCCCACATGAAAACCATTACGGCTGAATAAGTATAAGTATTGGATGCCAATTATGCATCCGTCTTTTCTTCAACAAAAACAACAACACAGAAACAATCCGCGTTTGACGTTTGTGGGCTTTGTGTAACTTTACCGCTAGTGTAATACAGGATAAACATCACTTTGAGTGAATTCATAGTGTCAACTATACTGAACCGCAAAAGAAACGTCACCATTGATAGATATATGAGAAACCTTATTTATACAAACACTGTAAACATACTTTGAGACATTTTAAAAAGATGAAACGTGGCAAAACTGATCATCAAGGTTGAAATTAATGTGTCAAATTGTGTCAATTGTGTGAAACACAACACTAGTCTCTGAGAAAATGGCATCACAAGTCAGTATCTCATGTCGCCATGTACATTAATGACTGCCGTGCAACGTCGATACATGGAATGGATGAGGCGGTTGATGAAGGCCATAGGCACTTGAGCCCACACTCAGAGGAACGGCTGACGCAGTTCAGCTGCAGTTGTCGGCCTTGGTCGGACGTCATTCATCCGTCTTTGAATCTCGACCCACAGGTCCTCAATGGGATTTGAATCGGGACTGAGGGAAGGCCACTGCATGGTTCTGATGCCATTCTGCTGGAGGAAGTCTCTTGTTGCTCTCGCAGTGTGGGCACGGGCGTTATCCTGCTGAAACTCGTGGTCTTATGACTTGATCAATGTTCCGAGCTGCTGTGACGTCATTGCCTCTCCCTCGACCGATGTTCTGGAAGACCACAGGGCCGACCCTCTGTGCAAGACCAATTCCATCCCACACCATGATGCCCGGACCACCCCACGAGTCTCTCTAAACAAAACAAGCATCCGAATAATGTTCCCCACGGCGTCGCAAGACTCTCTCTGTCTCTCTCTCTCTGTCTCTGTCTCTGTCTCTCTCTCTCTCTCTCTCTCTCTCTCTCTCTCTCTCTCTCTCTCTCTCTCTCTCTGCTATCTGATGTTGAGATACAGTA